ACGGCGCGGAGGGAGCGGGGGCCCTTCTGCTCCCGCCACCACCTGCCGTCAGGGCTGGGGAGATCGGGGGTGTGACAGGGAGGGAGGGCGGGGTCCTTGCTGATAAATCCATCCGGATCGCAGAAGCGCACTTTGGAGCTAGCTGAAGAAGTACACAGTCCAACTCGGGAGACCCGCCTTTTTTTTTTTTTTTTTTCTTTTTAAACTCGCAGCTGTAGTTACACATCAGTGGTTTAACAGTGGGATTGTTCTCCTGATAAGCAGCATATGAAATTGAGGTACCCATTTCACCTTTGTCTACCTGGCAGGCTTTATGGAAACACAAAAACGTCTTTAAGCGCTGACTCTGTGGCTGAAAAGGACAATCACTAATTGCACGGCACAGCTTGCTTTATGATACCTCTGTATGCTTTATTTTCTTTTGACAGATACGCAGCATGTATAGGTGAAAGATTCACAACACAGACCTATTTAGTGAAAACTTTGGACTGTACAAAACAGTTTCTACTTCCCAAAAAGGTCACATATCTTTTTTTTAGAAGGCCCCACACACACACACCTTATCAATCAGACCTATTGCTGCAATTACATCGTAATCACAAGGTAAAAATTAATCAGTGTTGGAATGTCAGTTTTATCATTTCTTTACATACTGGTGAGGCAGCATTTACTAACATATCATGTACAAGAACAGTAAGAGGTGTATGAGAACAGCAAGAGATGTGTCCTGTTTTGGCTGCAAGTCTTCTGCTGCAGGAGGTAGCATGATAAAGGATACTGCCTTGCACATCCTAAGTAAAGGCCGAGTAAGTGGAATCCACTACTAAGTTAGCTAATCTGATGCTTGAAATTGTGCAATTTGAAAGCCTAAGGAAAGTGAGAAGCAAACCAGAACAATTCAAATCTCAAAAGAATGAGTATACAGCTTTGTAGCTGTAGAATTCAGGCAATATATCTTGTAATTATTTGTTTGCAATTGTGTTAAGAAGCACATAGCTCCGAGGTGTGTTGAGTTTATGCTCAAGTGATAGGTACTTGTAGGATTAGAGTCCGTGAACTGTTTGCTGTTTCTCCTTTTTACTAACTACAGATGCAAATCATGATTTCTAATCCTAGGATGTACTATAAAGTGACTTGTATAGTTACCGTCATGCTGGTAATTGTCTTCATAGCTTCTGCCTGCCCTCAAAATCTCCCCACATACTGATAGGATAAATTTAAAAACCGTACTGTAGTAAGCAGGAACGAGTTTTTCAGCTCTACAAGCCAGTAACTTTTGCCCTTCAAGGGCTTAGCAGCTGCTCGTGTTCTACTCCATTGCTCAAAAATCGTGTCTGCCGCCTTGCTGTTGGCTGCGGACAGGCCCTGATACTGAAAGTTGAAACCAACCAAGCCAAAAGAAAATCCAAACTTTTAGAACAATTAAACTAGAAAGTTTAAAATTAGAAACTCCTGAGTATTTCATACAATGAACCAGGTGTACACCATGAACATTGTATTTTATTTTCCACTTCACTGTAATGTAACACCAATGTTCAGCGGTCAGGGTCAGAAAAAGACCACGCACTTAAAAAACTTAAAAGAGTATCTGACAGACTGCTGGAGTGAATTACAGGCTTTGAGTAGTGTGTGCCTATTGAAAAAGTTTGGCTTTTTTTTTTTTAAAGGCCAGATAATAATTTCTACTCTATTCTTGACAAAATCCCTCCTAATATAGCTTATTCCCTACTTTTGACTCTATCTGATTCTATTTTCTAAAATCTCACAATATTTTAAAAGATGAGATAACCTGTGTGGAGTGCAGACAAGAGTCCGTACACAATTTATGTATTTTCCTTATTTTATTTTTACACTACTGTCAAATCCTTCACGTCTTTCACGTCACTTTCTGTGCACTGAGAACACATCAGGTTACATCAAAAGTTTCCTTTCACTAATGTTTCTCGTTCAACTTTTCTTTCCTTGATAAATTTGATCTGCCTTCAGTTGTCAAGTTCATTCAGCGTTTTGCACAATTCCCCATACTTTTGTTACAGCACTTCTTGTCACTATAAAATTTTGCTGATTTTATAAATAAATCATTGAGACTCTAAACAGCCTTACTTGTAAACTGAGTGCTGGAGCACCTCATTATTAAAAACTGCTGTTCTCTGTGACTCAACTTGCTGTTCTTTATCCACTTTTTAAATCAAGACAAGCCTTTGCTCATTATTTCAGGGCTATTTAATATTTTAAGACTTGAAATTTTGTCAAACCCTAATAAATGTAGCCTGCTGGATCGCCTCTGCTACTTTATTATGGTGTGAACGTGTTAATTCTGAAATGTTAGAGGTTTATGTCTCTCTTTCAGAAGCTGCTTTGCTTTGACTTAAGTGATGGTTTATTCAGCTGAAATCATCAGTAGGAAGTCAGCTCATCAGAAAACTTCAGTCACAAAGCACCCTCTGAGCCTGCTTGGTGTATCTGAATCATGCTGCTGCCACCACCTTACCACTCACATGTTCTTGGTGACTGCCAGGCTGTCCTGTTATAGATGAGCCTCTCGTTGGTGAGGGCTCCCTAAAACTCCTCCGAGTCATGAAAATGTACGTCTGTGTTAGTGATCACCTATCTCTGCTAGTGACTCTTTCTAGGGGATTTACAGCATAAAGGTGTCACTTCTCTGAGTTTGTATCTGAATTCTTAACCTCGGCCTATCTGCAATCAGAGAACTTAATACAGCGGCACACACCGCAGTGCGTCACGGCACAAAGCAGCATAGATGGCTATAGCTTGTTCCCACAGGGGGAGGCACATGACTTAAAGCTACTTAACAATGAAGAAATTTAACCACACTGGACACTGTGATGATGTGTATATATGTGGCTGTTTTGTGTATTTTTTTTAAAGAAAGCTTCCTTTTTTTCTTAGTCATCCATCTAAGTGAAATGACAGTCTTTTACCTCATTTTAGATACAGAAAAGGTGTGCTGCTTTAGCAGGAAAAGCTAACTTACGTGAACGCTCCCAAGGTAACACTGTGCCTTCGCAAGTAGTGAAGTCAAGGTCTGAGAGAGCTACGCAACTTCATCACCTGCACCTTCACATACCTTCTGCTACGTACAAATTTTTCGCTAGCTACTGTTTAAATAATAAACCTTTTGTCCCACCCAGGTTTATTAATTTTAACTGTCAACAATCCAGTTCCCTTTCTGCTAACACCTCCCTCTTGATTTTCCCCTTCTTTTGTTTTTTAACATTGTCTAAAAAAACTGCCTAGGTCCAAATGGATATGAACAATTTCATTTTGCATATTACGTTCAGACTTCTCAGCTTTCCTCTAGCTGCTCCTCCACGGGATAAGGTTTGGCTTTTTACTGAGCCTGCTGAAGTCCATCAGCTGATACCCTGTATCACGTTACAACACTGCATTTAATTCTCGGAACCTACTCTCTGCATTCACTGGCATCTCTTTTGAAAACGCAATATTGTTCTTTTGTGAGGTAGTCGTTTTAATACTAGATTGATCAAATGAAGTACTGTCAACCCACAGTACTGTCGGGGTTTTGGCCATTCCATGACCTGGTGCTTCCCCGGTACAGCAAGTCTGCTCACCCCTGCAGCTTCTGGAGCTGGACTACAGGGCTGGTTGTGTGCGGTTCCTCCACCTAAGGCATGTGCAATTCCCAGAGACACCCTCCGCGCAGCTCAGACAGCACCTCTCGACCCCCTTCAGATGTCAAGCAATGAACGCACGGCACTGTGCTCGGTCACGCCACAGCGCAACGCAAAGTGACAACACCGAAGGACAGGAGACAGCCTTGAGCGACAGCTGGGGCACTGGTGCTCCAGCACAGCCACACTTCACTGGCTCCACTTTATGTCAGTAATGTGGCAAAACTGGCCCGACCCTCGTGATTACAGTTCCTCGGAAGCAGGGGGACAGACTCACTGACCTCTCGAGTCCTGTTCACATGTAATTCTCTAAACTTTATTAGCATGGTATACACCATGTGTTTTGCATCCCCAGCTGGCCAGCTGTGTTTCACACACATTGTACTCCTCCTATGACAGAAGGATCATCCTACCGACAATAAACTCCCTTAAAACAATCCTTCTAAAAACACTTTCTGTCTGACAACCACTGCTTGGCTCCCTACGCTCTGTTTTGGAAGGTGGTGAATAACGCAAGCCAGCTGTTTGTTTAATGTCTCTGAGCCAGAGGAGGAGAGGAGTTCGCCAAGCTTTATTATGGTGGGTGGCAAGCAAGAACTGAGCCTCCAGCTGGTGGGGTTTTTTTTTTTTGTCTTCCTTGGAGATAAGGTGGAGGAATAGTAATAAGTAGATCCTGCATGTTCAATTTAATGACACTAATTGTATCAGCCATTTCAGAAAATTAGCAAATGGTTAGTGGTAATGTTGTTTGACATTTCGGTATGATCTCTAGGGTTATGTAGGCTAGATTCCTCCAACTCTCATTTAACTGAGCATTACACTGGCAGGTGGTTCCACCAAGTTCAGCCCTCCCACAGTGGGGAGCTGCAGGAGAGATGTCTGCGTGGGATCTACCCCAGTGATGGTGGGTGAATCCCTCAGGAGGGGAAGCTTGGCTCAGGTTTTGGGTGTGAAGCACTCTGCATGTTGCTGGTGCCAAGTGAACAGAACTCTGTCCTCCTTCTCCACGTCAAGGACTGCTCTACCCTTCAGGAACAGTGTGCAGATTTTTAAAACACAATAAACATCCAGAAATGCAGGCCAGACCAAAACCTCACTCATCACAAATTAGTTTTAGAAGTGAACTTTAAAGTGCCTTTCGCTTTCAGTAAGATTTTTGCTGTGTGGATTCCAGTTGAACAGTGGAAAAATTACTCAGAATTTTTGCTGCTGTATTTTAACCAATCAAAGGAGCCCAGGATTTGGGATAAGTGCGTTTCTTTTCTTATAAATATAAATCAACACAACTTTCTCTCACCATGCATGTATGCTGACAGCCTTTAAGTTATTGTAAGTTTGCAGCACCAGCTAAATAGGATCTGTCCTGCAAGCACAGATTAGGAGGAGAAAAGACTCAGTGGTGCGGGTGATGGAAAAGAAGGGTTGCACAACGTTACTCACCACTAGAGGAATGGAGCAGATGACCACCACCAGGGAAGTGGCAATGAGCAGAATAACCATCTGGATCTCTGCTCCAGCCATCCGACGGAAGCTCCGGCGTCTGCGAAAGTCAGATAAACGGCTGGAGGTGGTGTCTGTCCCCAAGGACGTGCGTCGCATGAACTGGCGGTGCATGCGAATGAGGGCCACACACACCAGGATGTTGCAGATCACAGTGACCATGATTAGGAAGGAGCTGAAGCCGGCGTACATGTAGGAATACGCCGCATGGGTGGCCTCCTTTGCTCGCCAGTCTATGAAACACCAAGTGTAAGGGTACTGCAAGGTAGATTTGCCGAGCCCCATGCTGGGGAGGGCGCAGAACAGCACGTTGGAAGCATAGATGGCAAAGAGTGTGAGCCCCGCCAGTTTCTTGTCTACATAATGGTTGTAGAAATAGGCATGGTTGATGGCCAGGTACCTCTCTATAGACATGGCACAGATAATGCTGAGGCCAGACAGTCCAAAGAAGAGGAGGATGAAGGAGCTGTACTCACACAGCGCCGGTCCTCCTGGCCAGCGGTTCTGCAGGTAAGTGGCAATAGTGACCGGACTCACCAGGCAGGTCCCCAGGAGATCAGTGACCGCCAGCCCACAGACCAGTGTGTAGAAAGTGGTCTCCTTCTGCTCCTTCCTGGACTTGCAGAGCACCACGATGGCTATGAGGTTGCCCACCACGCCGAAGATGAACATGATGGTGGGGATGGTGGGGGGCTTCCCACCCTCAGCCCCGCTGGCAGTCCCGTTGGCGGAGGCGTTCGCAGGTGGCATGATGGTGGGGTTGAAGGACATGATGCCCACGCTGCCACTGGGGAGTCCAGTAAAGGCAAGAGCTGGTCCGAAAAAGAAAGGCAGAGTAAGGAGGAAGGGGAGGGGGTAGTCTAGCGTGAAAATAAAAATTCAAATGAGGGAGAAGTAAAAA